ACAATCTGCTGCTCGATGTCTACCTTTACCACACTTGTAGCATAACCCCTTCTCCCCCCGCCTAGCCATCTCCTCCTTTGATACCCAGACTCTAGCACTAGACAGGTCCATCGCGTCAGGGTCACGTGTAGGTATGGTTGAGGTGGGACGCGCCGTCGCCGTGCGATTCAACCCAGGGTGGATCTCGTTATCGATAGCGAGTGCGAATGAGCTGATTTCAGGAAGGGAAGTGAACGTCTTCAGAATCATATTAATTCTAATCTCTTGTTTAAGTCCGATTTTGTAGTGGCTGATGTGTTCAGTTTCACCCCATCCCGTACGTGCAGCTAAAGACATGAACTTTGATGTATAGTCGGCTACTGAACCTGTTTGCTGCAACGCTCGTAAGTCTCGTTGGGCCCGGTTCTGACGGTCTGAGTCAAAATAGGTGGCTTCGAATGCGTCAGCGAAGGCTTGGAATGTTAAATCGTCATCGTCGGCAGGGTGCAGGATGCGCTTATAGAACAGTGCCGCCCATTGGTTTGCATCGCCGGTAAGGTAAGATAATGTGAACACAATTTTCGTCCGGTCGTCCGGGAAAGATGCTGGATTGGCTACTAGGTACAGTCCTACTTGATTGACAAAAGTCTCGGCCTTATCGCCTTTTGTTCCGTCAAATTTGTCAGGAGTTCCAACTTTAGGACCTCGAGAAGTACCTAACAGAGCTTTGATATCGGCAGCGGTGATTGGTTCGGTTGTAGCAGCCATGGATGATTGTGCCGATTGGGAGATAGAAATAGTGGGTTGCTGGGAGGTTGGAGCCGGAGCAGCGGCCGATTGGGATTGCTGCGTGCTCGTGGGTTTATTTTCGAGTATCAACTGTTCCAATCGTTCTTCTGCAGTCTTCCGACTTGCAGCTTCCTCATTGAGTCGGTCAGTTAAGGTACGTCTTTCATTTGCCTCTTCTTCTAATCGTGTGTTTAGATTAGTGAGTTGCGCTAGTATGTTCGCAATGTTGGCATTCAATCCGTCCATTACGCTTGCAGTCTCTAGGTCTGTCTCTTGATCTGAAATTGATTGAAATGAACTGTCGGTTGAATGTTCCGAACCTTGTTCCGGTAGATTGAAGATCGCCGTAGTTTAAAGTTTCTGTTTGAGCGGAGATAACCCAATCTTGTTTCTTCAGTTATGTTCCGAGTTTATAATCCGCAATTAAAGTTGATCCTAATTTTAGCTGGTCGCTGCTTGAAGGTGAGACACTGCAATATGTTATGGCTGAAGCTCGCAGCGACAAGGTTTGGTGATGATGAGGGTTCTCAGCGTAAACTAACTAGATTGCAGTGTGAGGAACAATACAAGGGGTGATCGTGGAATGTGAAAAGAGTCCAGATCCCAACCCTCTCTACTAGCATAACTCCGTATAAGGCTCATAACATCCATAGCTCAATGTGGATATGCATTGGTTGAGCCATTGCATTGAAGGCATAGAAATTTGCTGGAGAATATGGATTGGTCAAGCTGGCTTTTTGGATTTGATCAAATTGGACTCATTCAGACTAAAGGTAGGTGGAGAAGTTGAAGGGCATCGAATTGCCTAAGTCATTGATATTGTAGTACCTTGTAGAATTGTGATATCCTAGTAGACGCTGTGTTTGGATGAGTGTTTGGATGGGTATACAGCTATTCCAGGAATTGATGTCACCCCTTGTCCATTTTTTTTCAAGCCGGGCAATCACTGTGAAGGTTCATGTACAATATAACTCTGTAAAGTTTACAAATGAACAAGATCATTTTCACTTTGTCATGCCTAGCTTTGTGTAACCATTCAGATTGAGGTCCCTTTCCCCAGCTGAGATTTTCTTTCTCCGGCTAAAAAAATAAAAAAAATAAACAAATTGGAAGGGGGGTGACAATAATTCCTGGAATTGCTGTACTCATTCAAACTTTGTGCATGGTGGAGGATGGTTAGTGTGGGTACGAGGCGCATAGGGCGGTGCACAATTGAGTTTGGAGTTTTCACTGGTATCCTGTAATGTGAGTATATGAATATGTTCTACTCAGTTGTCCCTACGGGTTGTGAGTCCAATACCCAGCCCCTTGGGTAAAAACTTTGGATTTGGGTATGGGCTGGGTTCACTCATACCCACACCTGCATTCTTGGCGCTAGATCTTTGCGCTGGTGGCAGACTTCAGGCTTGCCTGGGGGTTTAGTATGACAGGACCCTGGAAAGCCCCTTATATGGAACCATCGGACAAAGATGGTATCAATTGGGGGTCAAGATTTTGGCTATGTTACCGACGAAAGATGTATCAATCAGCAAACTCTGGAAAAAACAGAAAAAAACTTACCGACAAAAACCCCAATACACGTATCAATTCAGTATCAGATGGCATGTCACGGAGGTGAAACCGTGAAAATCAGCATGTTACCAGCAGAAAAGGGTCAAAACTGCCCAAATCAAGGCAAAAACCGTCGGATGTTACCGACGAAATTGGTATCAAAGGCCTCAAAAAGTCACTTTTTGGAGTGTGCAGCAACCAATTTCCCGTGATTTCTCGTTAGATGGTTCCATGGGAGCTTTCCGATGCCGCATAATTTTGCTTCAAGCTTGATTCCATTCCAGAAGCATGAAGACGGAAGCATTCCGTGAGATGCCGTGTCGCTGTTCGGCGGGACCACTTTCCCGAGTGCCCCGCGGGAGCTACATACGGTCGGATCTGGTATGATATTTTTTGGTTCAAGGCGACCGCATTGTTGCAGATCCAATATTTTCTTCGTCATGTGTGGTGAGTGACTTTTCATCCTTTTTCTTCGTCAAGCAGAAATAAACTGAAACAACGCTTTGTTCTTATTGAACCCATTATCAACAGGAATCGGCGTTATCATTCAACGCACACCGAAGCAGAGTCCGAGTAACTTTTCTCACGATGATCACGGCAGACCGTTGGAACTGATCTGCGAATGCGTCAGACGGGCAATTGGACCGCGAGGTACTACTAGATCCACTCGATCGCAATAATGGACACTCAACGAATTTGCTTGCCTAGGTCCAGATGTCCAATCCGAGACCCGTGTCGTATCAGAACTGTCAGATGATTTTAACCTGGACCTACAATTCTTCGGATCTGTGCTTCATTTACGCGGATCATCTGTGACGGTCCAACCCATGAAGGGGCAAACCGGAAGTATATTTCTTTGGAACGGTGAAATATTCGAAGGTTTATCGGTGAGTGCAAGTGAACATACACCAGTGCTATTATGTCAAGATTCACTGAGGGTATCCTGCATCTACGTTCTCACTAGGTGGACGCTTCTATGAACGATGGTGAAATATTGTTTGAAAAACTTGAATGTCGTGATCGCAACGTCAATGTCCCTGAGGTCCTGCAAAATATTGAAGGACCATACGCGTTTGTTTACTATGACGCGGCCAGAAATCAACTTTGGTATGGAAGAGATCCACTTGGTCGCCGATCACTAATGATAGCTCAGGTGAGGTCTCACATTCATCATATCACTGATCCACTTCTTGTGGCCGCAACGCTGAACCCGCACTGATCACAGTCCGACATCGCAGGTGACCCAATTGTCATCGCGTCTCATCTCAATGGCCAGGATCTCCCAGGGAGTTTGGAGGTCTTGGCAGAAAGCATCTTCCTGGTCGAATTATCCACAAAACTTGATTCATTGGAGATCATTCCTGTCGCACGCCAGATCCCGAAACCGATCCTGTGCCGAAATGCCCCAGCCGATCAAGACCGAATCAGCCTCTCGAATCTCACAAAAGATACTTTGCCACTAAGTATGGTGGACGCTTGTAAGGCATTCAAGGAATCTCTTGGAGATGCTGTAAGAAGACGAGTGGCAAGTATATCTCAGATCTATAGGTGTGTATGTCCTTCCTGGTATCCAGTACCGCTTACCTAGTCCCTCACTGAATTCTTTCAATAGGAATTATGACACGGAAGCCAGTGTTTCCGTCCTGTTTTCGGGTGGTCTAGATTGCACGACCTTGGCGCTCTTGGCTCATCAACACATACCTCCGCACGAATCCATAGACCTCATCAATGTTGCTTTTGAAAATCCTCGGTCTCTATCAAATCTTTCTCAGCGCACAGAAGGTGCCATACATGACGTATTTGCTGTTCCTGATCGTAAAACTGGCGAGAGCTCGTGGATAGAACTATGTAAACTGGCTCCAAACCGGCTATGGAGATTTGTCAAGGTCGATGTAACAATATCCGAATATTTTACCCACAAAGCTCAAATCATTCAACTGATGAAACCCAATTTCACAGTGATGGATCTTGTAAGATGTCTTTTTGAGTTTTTTGTTCTCATGAGTATACACGATCCCCCTGCCAGTACAAATGGTCACTAAAAACACTCTTGGGGTTGATTATATACTTTGCTGGTAGAGTATTGCTGCAGCTTTGTATTTTGCAGCCCGTGGGATCGGAACATATCTTCTACATTCACCTGATCTAACCGACGGAAATGACCGCTCGGTCTGTGTTGAAGCATATCGCTCGCCTGCTCGGGTTTTCCTGTCCGGACTTGGGGCAGACGAGTTGTTAGGTGGCTATTCCCGTCATCGGGCGGCCTTTTCGTCCCCCGAACCTCCCAATTGGACAGGCCTCATTGATGAACTTCAACTAGACTTGGATCGAATCTCTACTCGCAATCTTGGGCGAGATGATCGAATTATCGGCCATCATGGGCGTGAAGTCAGGTATCCTTTCCTCGACTCTACCGTTGTTCATAGTTTGGCTAGAATTCCGGTTCATTTGAAATGCGATCCTGATCTGGGACGTGGAATAGGCGATAAGTTATTGCTTCGGTATTTGGCTCAAAGCCTTGGATTACGTCAGGCGAGTAAGCTGGAAAAACGAGCCATCCAATTCGGCGCTCGTTCAGCAAAGATAGACGGCACGGCGAAAGGACAGGTTGAACTTGTGGAAGAAAAAGCCGATGTAGATCTATTGTGTCCCTTTAGGTTAATCCAGACTGAACGACCCCGACTCACCCGTCGACAAGCCGAGAAATTGGTCACTAGACTGTATCGGACTGCTGAGGACCACATCGTTGGGCTGTCGCCTTCTGACTTGGTACTTTCGACTTTGACTTTTATCTCTGCACCTGTTGGGCAGACTGCCATCTTGGCCTATCCTAGACATCTCGAGGCGGCTCAAAGGCTTTCCTCAAAGGCTCGCGCCATTCCGACTCCGTCTTCACCTGCCTATCGCATCGCGCCAATCACATCGAAAGGAATGGGAGTGCTTGCTTCTCGTCAAATCAAGACTGGAGAGCTGATAATCGGAGAACGACCAGCTATGATATTGCCCGAGCGATTGGAGTGTCTGAACCAACGTACCCTTGATCAGGTCCATTTCGCGATTTTTGATCAAATGCCTTTTGTCAATCAACTTGCATTATCCGCTTTGAGTTCCAATGGAGATGAACATCCGATTGTTTCAAAAATCTGGAATAATGAAATTTGCCTTGAGCTTGGCAATACATCCGAACAAGACACATCTCCATACACATACTCTGCTGTCTATCCCACCATCTCACGATGCAATCACGATTGCGCACCCAATAGTCGATGGCACTTTGACGCGTCCAGCTTTACTCTCAACTTATGTGCTGTACGCGAAATCCAAGCCGACGAGGAGATCACGGTGTCATATATCCACCATCTTATACCGAGGGCTGATCGAGTTGG